CTCTGAATCTTCTCTTTCCATGATTTGGTTGATGTAGCAGTCTTGGTCTACGTACATCTCTGGATTTGCCTTTTCTCATCTCCTTTGCACAGTTCAGTATTTTCCCCAATCATTAAAAAGGATGATCAGATCTCTCGTTAAGTCATTAAGCATTCTCTCTTTTGATTCTATACAATCATGTCTTTAGTTACAGGACAGATTGCTGTGACGATACACTTATTTATCTTTTTGGAGTTCTAGACTCACATATTCTCCTTCTTACCTATTTTTATGCTTGAAATGCTGTCTACAACTATTTTGTCTCGTTCTTGATTCTTTTTCCATGATCATTGTCTCAGCAAAGATATTGTCATTCCTATTGTTATATAACATACTAGTGTAGGGGTCATTCTTGACATTCTCCTCACATTCTTGTATTCTGAGCTCCTGTAAGTTTGAGATTAGTAAATAACTCTTAGTCTGCACCATTCCGCCATTCACATACCATAGTCCACAATAGTATCATGTCTGTACAGAGTCCTGGTTCCCTTACATCCACATTATTCCATCTGATCTATATTCTAGAATTATGTTTTAGAAAATAATATTTAATTTTCTCAGTGCCATAAAAACTATTTCATAATATATATTCTGCAATATACAGTAATTAAATTATATTTTATACCATATATACACACAAAGACACAGACACACACAAATGCGTACACACACACACTACACAGTGCATGGCCCAAAGTGATTTTCAAACTTTGAGCTCAAACTATATGTTTCAGAAAAATTTGCATGTGATTCTGAGGTACTTATAGCTAAACACTGACTGGTTATACACTCAACAGGATATGATGATATGATTAGCCTGGGTGGCTCAATTCAAATGTCGATGACCAAATAAACAAAATCCCATAAATGTGGGGCATACTGTGATTTTATTTGCATTAAAGATGTATCAAAACCATCTCAGTAATTTTCAAGAATTTTTTCCTATGTTTCTTTAGTTTTCAAGTTATAGTCAAAAACACAAATAATGAAAAATAAATGTGCTTATCCAAGTGTTAAAGAATATATTAGTTAAAAGCCTTTGCTTTTTGTGTTACTTAGAATGGATAAATTTTTTCTTAAAGGCTTAATCTTTTCCCCTATAAAATAGGGATATTATTACCAAATTTGATTTTCCCCTATAAAATAGGGATATTATTACCAATATTACACAATATTGTGTAGTGTATTAAATGAGACTTTATATGTCTCTTTCTTTTTCCTTCCTTTTTCTCCTCTCTCCATCATCTCTTCACTACTCCTTCTAAAATAAATGAAAGTAATTTTCCTACCCTTCAATATAATGAGACTGAAGAATCCAGAGGAGATAATTATACTTATTTGAAGACAGCTTTAACTTGGAATAAATGCTTTAGTGATATGAAAGAATACTGATTAACTACAATGAGGCAAAAACTGTCATGATTTTACTAGAATAATAGCTTATAATTCAATTAGTAAGATATTTATTAAACTCATTCTTTCCATTTTTGACTGGCCCCTTACTAAGAAGTACTACTTATAAACCCCCAAAACATTTATAATTTAAGTACATTTACTTTTGTGGCCTGATAATAGTCATCCAAATGAAGAACAAAGACCCTTAATTCAAATAAATGTATTGTTATATTTAGTCATAGACAAATAAAACTACCTTTAAACAGTGATAAAATTGCTTTCTTTCTAATTTTATATTCAAATTTCCATTTATAAATAATATATTATATATTCTAAAATACATATCACTGTTCAGATTATTGATCTCAGTCAGCTGTAAGGGACAAAGTGTTTAGCAAGACTAGTTAAGGAATCTGAACAGAACAGTTTTATTGCACTGAAGCAATAGCTTTATCAGAGCTCAATGGAGAGACCCAGTGGCCAGGTCAGTGTCACTAACATTTTATTGATATATAGCACAGGTTATGGGGTACGTTGATAGAGGAGGCTGTCTGATAGCTGTTGTCCTCGTCCTATCAAACACTATTGAATGACCTATTAAACATGGGTGATCCCAGGGAACTGGAGAGGTTTATGTCACTACAGTTGTTAAAAATGGAAACATCTGGCAAATTCAGAAGATAATCACTTTTCTTACAACTTTGACTTTTAGATCCTAAGAGAGATTTATCGAAGTTTGAGTTGGGGAAGTATAGAGGCAAAAAGAGTATGGAAAGATACATACACAAAAAGTAATCTAAAAAATCTTAAAATACTAAAACAAATTGTAAGGTGAACTCATAGGAATTTTATGTGATAAAATTAATATTACATAATAATTTATATTAAAATTATCTAGAATTATTTCTTCTTGACTCATGACCTAGGTAGAACCAGTGATATGCTATTAGATTATCAATTCTCTCCTGTCTGTATCCACAGGACACAGGTTAGTTAAGAATAACACTGGATTATGTCACTGTCAATGGGTTGTTTAGTGACTTTAGACATGCTACTTAATTTGGGAGTGTCAGTTTCCTCATTTGAAAAATGAAAGAGGATTTTTCCTCACTTGTAAAATAAATGAGAGTTTTCATTAAATTTTTGCATACAAAAATAAAAATTTTCCATCCTGTTCTATAGTACTACTATGCAATATTTGCTTTTTTTTGTACCATGAATCAAACTTTCAGTTTCATACTAGTCAGATGAGGACTGTGCTGCCAAGCTACCAATATTTACTTATTTATTAGTGTTTTCCTATAGAATAGAAACTACAACAGTACTCAGAATGCAGATTGTCCTTGGAGGTACTTTTTCATTGCACTTAGTATTATCTATAAATTATATTAAACTAATAATTATTGTCAGCTTCACTCATTGATGTATTCTCTGCCACTTTAACACAATATTTTTCAAATAAATGCTTGAGGTAAAGCACTTAAATAATAACTTCCTTAAAGATTTGAGACAACAGATGATATGCATATGGAAATATTTTTAAAATTCAGAATAGGAAGACATTTCTAACAAATACTCTTAAAGACGAAGTGAGCTAGTGTTCATTAAGTGTGAATTATTATATAACCAATCAATGAAAGAATTTTAAAAATCTAACTGAAGGTTATAAATATATTATTGCATGAATTCAGTGACTTGAAAAAACTTCGTCTTTAGTGTATTCAGAAAAAATATGTTGACTTTTGATTTTTAAAATAGGAGTAATAAAATCATAGATGGCAAAAGCAAATATACATTCCTGTCTTTTACTGAAATGAAACATGTCAGTCTAATTTTGTGCCATCTACTGCTAAGAACAGCAACATAAAATAGGAGGTGCCCAATGATCTTTTTCTATAAGAAAAAGAAAGCAGATTTGTTTAATGCCGGCTTCTTTCTTGCTATTTTTGTCCCAGTAGTAATACTTCTCTGTGGGATATAAGAATATTGAAGTGGGTGTGTTTTTGAGTTGTATGGAACTAATTGCTGCATCGCTTCTACTAAATAGGGATGAATTTAGACAAAATATATAACATCAATGAAAAAGAAATATCACTCAATATAATTTTTTGAAAGATGTATGGCCTCATTCCAAAATAGCTCCCTCAAACCACTGCCACTTGATTAAACAGAGAAGGATTAAGTACATAAAGTGACTTTCAGAAAATGTATCTAAGCATAAACTACATCTGTCCACGAGAGGTCAGTTAAGCATAAAAGAAGTATTTTTAGAAGTCATCAAAGTTAATGACAAGTGAGAAGACTTTCTATTATGGACATAAATACTGGGAGAGGTGGTGGCTTCTGATATTATATAATACATGATAACTTTTTAAAAATGTAGAATGAACCTACTGTTGTCATCAAGAGTAAACTTCATCCACACATTTGAAATCATGGTTGCTGTAATAGTTAATTTAATGTATCTATTACATTGGGACATGGGTTCTCAGATCCTATCCAGATAGTGTGTAGGTGTGTGTGAATGTTATTGAATGACACTTGAATCATAGATTGAATAATGCAGAATGCCCTCTCTACTGTGGATGGACCTCACCTAAACCTTAAGACCTGAATAAACGGAAAAGCTATTGCCTGATGAATAAAATTAGGCACTGGTTTTTCTAGCCTTTAGACCTGGACTGAACCATTGGCTGTTTCTGGACTTCAAATTTGATATTTGACCTTAATAAGCTTAGTTCTCTGGTCCTGTACTCAATATGTAGTAAAAAATCAATGTTCTCAGGTTTCTAACTTTCCAAATGCAGATCCTGTGACTTCAGAATCTCATTTATATGAATTACTTCTTTATAATAAATGCAGTAAACACATATATGCATACACAATTGTTTCATATTACATATGTGTATGCATTAACTTTTTATTGTTTTTCAGATGAACTTGTGAAATACACTGATTCAACAATGTCAAGAGGGATGACATGAGTTGTGCTAATCAGGTGACTTTTCTGGATAACTAGACCCAATCCCTGTAGAAGCTAATGGGTTAGAATTTTGTCTGGTAATAATCTTAGTGATCAGACAAGTTAAGGAGATTTTGAAATATAAAATATTGAGTTAATTTCAAATGCTTTAAACATTAATTCAGACATCAAATCTTCATTTCCAACTGAAAATAGTGTAATTCTATTTTATAAACCAAGCACCCACAGCCATTCTCAAAATCAGTTTTAAAGACAAAAGCAGCAAGGTAGATATGTAAATATTTCTCAGAATAATCACTCAAGCATGTGAGAATTTATCCATTTTCTTATACTGATTTTTTTTTTTTTGAGACTGTAAGGACTCATCAGCTTCACAGACTGATTTCTGTTACCATTAATCAGCACACAGCATATCTATTTATTTTCTATGACTTTTTCCAGCACTGGTATTTTATGATATTTAAACTCTTCTGGAATAAACGTTAAAAGTTTAAAACATCTGTCCCTATGGAACAAAAGATATATTGGAATACCATGAAATGTTTGGCATTAATTATGTATAAATTTTCTCATTGTCACTCACCTGCCCAGAAGCAGAAATTCTCCTGCGAGACCCAGGCGTCTCATAGCCATCAGCAGACCTCTCACTGTCATGCCCTCGCAGAAGCAGGCCACCACTCGAGCCTTGGGCAAGTGACTTGTAAGCTTTTTCAGGAGCTTGTCAAAGCTCTGCTCCCCTGCATTGCTGTAGATTTTGTAAGAGTGGGCGATGCAGATTCCTTCCTTGGCAGACATATCTTTGAAAGCTTCCATCCCACTTTCCCCGTAGTTGCCTGCGAGAAAACACAGATATGTAAAGGCATAGTTGCATTATTTAGATACAATCAGAATGCAAAAGCATTAGAACCATGAAGATCATTTGATGATGTTGGATTTAAACTCAAAAGTTAAATGTGAATTTTCACTCTTGTTACACTTTGTCTCTAAATGCCCCTTTTTAAAGCCACATGTGCTCTTGGGGAAGCTTTTGGGAGGTTAAGTGGATCATGCAGGGGCTTGACACTTATCAGTGGATAAGTTCTCTGATGAGTTTGTAGCTAAATATGAAGCCTGGTGAGAGGAGGTGGGTTGCTTGGATGTGGCCTGGCAAAGTGTATTTTCCTCCCTTTTCACTTTATCATACTCTCTCCTTGCCACCACCATCTCTTGCGCTGTTTCTCCTCTGCCGTGCTCCTGTGCTATACTCTCCTGCCTAGGTTCCAGTCATCTGACTGTGTCTGAAACCTCTACAAACTGTGAGATAAAATAAACCTTTCTTCTTCTCAAATTGCGGATGATGGGTTTTACTTCTTAGCAGTGACAGAAGTAACTAAGACAACTCTTTCTCTGACTTGTTCATTTGAGGTAAATTACAGTTGAACTGCATTCTACATTGTTGCATAGATCTTTTATATTTTTATGTAAAAATATAGATGCTCAAATTTTGCATATAGTACTTTTCTTTCTGTTCCTAGCTTCTTTGCCTTAATATGAAGTTCTTCAATTTTATCCATGTTTTCAGCAGTGATAGGATTACATTACTTTTTATGGTCAAGTAGCATTACACTAGAATTTATATATATTATATTACTTTTTATGGTCAAGTGGCATTACACTAGAATATATATATATATATATCACAGATTTGATGCTGTAGGTTCTGCTTCTTCAACTTTGCCGTGACTGATTCTCATAAATCTCAGAAGTTCAGCTATATTTTGCATCTTTTCCCATTTAAAGGTCATGATATTTCAATTTCAGATATTTTTGAGCAATTTAAGGCTCTATAAATAAAACTAGTCTCATTTTCTGAACTTTCAAAGGACAAGATGGACAAAGAAGATTACCTTGAAGAATTCAGGAATCTATTTACAAATACATACATATTTGTAACTGTATACATACATATATATATATATATATATACAGCTGGCCTAAAAGTCATATAGACATAGAACATGAAATTTTTCAAGTAGGGCTAGTAAGCTTCAAATGAATGGACATTTGATTGAAGAGAGTTTAAATCACTAAAGATAATTTAGAATGCAGATTTTCAAGATAGATCCTAACAATCCTGTGGGTTTCAGAGATGTCTATTGCAACATCCTCCTTATTTTGAATTTTTCTGTATTCTAGTTTATTTTAAAAAGAGTTTATCAATCATTTATCTTTTCAGGTAATCAACACTTACGTATTATTCTTTTCATCTTATCTCATTAACTTCAGCTCTAACCTTCATTATTTTTTCCTCTGTTAAGTTTGCACTCATATTGCTGTTGCTTTTCTAAAATTTTGAGATGCATCATTATTTATTTGAGATATGTCTGAAATTTTAATTTAGGCACTCATAGCTATACATTTCTTAAAACTGCTCTGTCATAGCCCAGAAATTCTGGTATTTTGTATTTCCATTTTTATTTGATTCTAGGAATTTTAAAATTTCTTCGTTGGTCTTTTCAATGAGTTGATGCTTGTTTCAAAGTGAACTGTCCAAAGTGCCGTGTGCTTGGATAGTTGTGGTTTCTCTTGCTGTTGATTTTTAATTGTGCATTAGCAGTTTGATTTTGGGAAAGCTGACAAATATATAAGCAGGCTCCTCCTTATAACAACTCTATGATAAAATCAGTACTATCATCTCTTGATCAGTGATGAAATGGAAGTTCATATACAGAAGGACGTGGCTGAGTGTTGATCTGAACGTATATCCTCTGATTTCTAGCTATTGTATGTGCCACTGTAATATACATGCCTTGCTGGAATGAGGTCATCGAACTTCGAAGGTGTATTTCTTGTATAGCACTGTTTTTCATGGAAATGTGTGATGAGAAAAGCAAGGCAGGATAGCTCCAGTCCCAGCCAAAACCACCTGAAGTCAAGTTGCAAAATTTTTTTTTCTCCAAACTTGAAAGTTTGGAGTCTTTATGATGTTGGCAGGTGAGCAATCTAGTTTTTATGCAATTAAAATGTATAAAGGATGCTTCCTGAAAAATATGCCAAGGGCCCTAAATTAATAATTTTATACCAGTTGGAGTCATATCAAGTTTTCTTTATATCATTTTTAAAAACATTTTCTTTTGTTTCACATCATGATTATACAGTTAACAGGCTTGACTATGGGATATAAATGCACATAATTTCCTATGATAAACATCGCTCTCTACAATCCCCTTTTTGACCCCTTCAGTCTGACATTTCACAGGTTTTCAATGTGTACAATATATCTTGAGCATATCATCCTGCTATTATTCTTTGATTCATTCTCATCTGTATTTTTCAACTGACTATCTTGCACTTAGTGGTCCTTTATTTGTGGTATCAGGGATTAAAACCACTTCCTTTATACTGAACTACATCCCAGCTTTTTTGTTAATTTTTAATTTTGAGCAGGGTCTTGTTTTGTTGCTAAGTGCTCAAAAATGCAATTCTCCTGCTTCAGTATTGCAAGCCTGCCTAATGTTTTGAAATAATACAGATAAATTTGCATAAATAATTTGAAATTAGTATGATTATGGTGGCAATAATGACAATTTAAAATTTATAGTCACAATTTGGTGAGAAAAATAATTGAAAAATCGTAATATTTAGCATCTCTTCTAACACCTTCGTCTTATTTTTATTTATATAGCAAGTTATATGAAATTTGTTTGGATTAGAGAACTGTGTTATTAGATAAAAAGTAACTGTGAATTTAGTTTGGGAAGTACTTAATTTTAACTTTCTTCTCCTTCTCCTTCCCCTTCCCCTTCCCCTTCTTCTTCTTTTTGTCTTTTTGATACAGAGTCTTGCTATGCAATTCAGGCTGGCCTTGAGCTCACTTTGTAGCCCAGGCTGGTATCATACAACAATCCTCCTGCTTCAGCCTCCCAAGTGCTGGGATTACAGGAGTGCATCACCACACCTGCTCAATTTTAATTTTTGGAAAGAAAAAAGTTACATCCTTTTATACTGAAATATATATATCATGTGGCCTGGATCCCAAAAATTGCACCTATCAGTTTTATATAGAATATTCTAGACAGAGTTCTGCTGTTCTCTCCTGAGGTTCCTAAAATATGAGAAACAAATGAAATTACTACTGAAAACTACATTCAACAATGAGCTTAAATTAGCAGAATGAAATAAGATTTTCCCAAACTGTACTCTTCAAAATTAAGATAACATGTGGGAAATCCCTCTCACTTCTGCTTAATATTGCAGTGAAACTACAACTACTGTAAAACATTTCTAATACATATGTGACATGAACTTTGCAAAAATCATAATTTCAACTTAATTAAAAACGAAAGTCATTGCAGGCTGAGAATTAAAAGTGAGAATAAGTAAGATGAAAATATTCAAAGTATAGATATAATTTAGTAGTTGATAAAAAACTTTATTGTGGAATTACACTTTTAAAATAATGGTTTTATAAAAATATCTATAGGTTTCTTGAAGATTAATGAAATAGATTTCACATAATGTATATGAAAGAAAATAATAAAATAAATGTTTTTATTTCCCCACAGAGTGTCAAGTCAATGGGAAAGGGAGTCATGCTATGGTGTAAAACATGTAAGTAACATACAGCATCATTTTAAATCCATAGATTATTCTTTAAGAAGCTAATGATATATAACCTACCTCTGATTTTTTGAACAAACATTCATTTTGAAATCTCACTTTTTACTATGGTATTTCACATATATCTTAGCCGTATGTTTATCCATGCTCTTCCTCCCACCTGGTACTTTTTTTCTCCATTATTCTTTGTTGCTGTGTTACCCATTCTTCCTGGTTACATGCAATTCCCCACACTGTAAACTCCATTAGGGTGAAAACAGCATCTCCTCAATAGTGCCATCAAGCAAGTGCTTGAGGAAGTAAACAATCTATTCCAGCGCTCTTTAAAATTTCACGTTCATAATATATTTAATAATGAGGACTTGGCTAAAAATACAACCTACGGTTTTTTTTTTTTTTTCCCCTAGGAACCATAAATCACATCAAATAATATGATTTATCATGAGATTTCTAAAGCTTTGCAGAATTAGGCTATATTATAATGCTACTACTCAATTTAATTTAGTTTAGTATATAACCTATAGAAAAATATGTAATAAAATTGCGTGTCTCTTGAAAGTACCAATGTACTTACATATCACTGTATACTGAGTTAAATATCATTATATATTGAATTACATTAAATCATATAATGAATTACATTTCATTACATACTGAATTATATTATATTACATGCCGAATTACATTATGTACTAAAAGTGTGTACATATCACTACATAATATGAACTCAGGGCTATTCTGAACAGAAATATGGCACCAGAATGATTGTTAAAAAGAAAAAGTTTGGAAGATTCAATTTGTCCAAATAAGATAATCAATTAGATGCTGAAAGAATATCCCAGATATTTCTTCAGAAAGCATTCATTTTAGGAAATACTAATGTACTTTAAGAAAATTATTGGGCTTGGTATTTCACCTCAGAATTCTTTTTAGACTTGGTTGGCACAAATTATCATTTGCCAAGGATATTAAAAATCCTACTATAAATGGTTATAAGAGTACATTCTAAAAGGCTTTTATGACTAGTATCTCACTACTACTATGAATATGATGCATTTTACTGACAACTATTAGTGAAGGAAAGCACTGCTATTTCTCACAGAGGTTTCTGGCATTAGCCTGGCAAAATACCCTCCCCTAAGTATGTACATGAGCAGGATCAGTCTATCTGCACTGGATTATTACTCCTTGCCCTTGGATAGGACCTAGAACTGTTCAATAAGTGGTACGAATT